ACAACAAATAAAGAAGAGCCACAACCCCCTCCCTTCCTCCTTAAAAAAAGCCCCTCTCATATCTATTCCTTAGTTTTTGACCTGCTTCTTCGATTTCCTTTATAGCTAAATTTGTTCCATGTATTGTCTTCATAAACTCTACTCTCTCACTTCCTTGTTAATAACTGTTCAGCTTTCTACCATGTTTTGTTTTCTCCTTAGGTGATATTATTTCCAAAATTTAAAAACCACAATTATGTAATGACCTCAGGTTCTCTCTGACTTGTACTCTAATACACAGTTACCCTTTCAAAATTTTCAGTTGATGTCTCATAGGTACTTAAAAATTCACTGTGTTTAAAGTCTTGATTTCTTCCCCTACTCCATTTCAGAAAATGTACTGCCATCTTCCTCAAATTGGAGAAGTAGACGTCGCCTTTCATTCCTTACCATTCTTTTACTTCCTGCCTTTAGCCCATTAGCAGGACCTGTTGATTCCATGTCCAAAATCTCTGTGCCATTCTTGCCTCCCTCTAAGCCACAGAGCAACAGAAGAGATCTTAAAATGCAAATCAGGGCTTTCCTCCTGTCTTGAGACCATTACTTTAGCATAAAATCTAAACTCCATACTAGGGCCAGAAGGTTTTGCATGATTTGTGCCCTTCTCTCTTCAGCCTCCCTCACGTGTTTCTCTTTGTACATGGTGCTACTGCCTCATTGGCCCTTTGGTTACTGCATTGTGTTTTCATGCCTCTGATTTTGGACATGCTATTGTCTTCCTGGAATGCTCTTCCCCTCCATTCTTTTCATCCTTTAGCTTGCTGGGTAAATGTCATTTCAGAGAGGTTTTTCTAACCAAATATTTAAGGCTTATGTCTCATTGGCACCACCTGTTTGATTCTTTTGCATGGTATCCAATTTACGATTTTTTGTCATTTTTTTTATTGGTTAAATTCTGCCCCAGCTGGAATATAATCACCAGGGAAGCAGGGCTTAGGCTTTATTGTGTGTGATTATATCTCCTTTGCCTATCTATATAGAGTACTTGACCACAGTGGGCTCTGTAAATGTCTGATGAATGAATGAATGAATGAATGAATGAATGAATGTCTAGAAGTGACCCTAAGAGCACCTGGCATCCTTAAATTCCAGTTTTGAATAATAGTTATTCCTAATGAAGATGACCTGACTTGTCTAGTAAGAAGTGTAGTAAGTGCAATGCATTTTAAAAAATGGTTTCACAAAATAAGAGTAAGCAAGCTTGATTATACTTTAAAGAAAATGGATTCTAGAAAATATAAAGGTCTTAAAATATTTTATTATTATAGGACTCTAAATGTAACCCAAATTTTCCTATAATAAAAGTTTTTTCCACTGATTGTTATTTCTCAAAGCTCAACAACTAATTTTAGTCTATAAAATTAATTATTGCTTATTTAAATGTTTTTCTAAGTGTTATGCACTCAATTCTCATCAGTTGTGAAATCTGTGTTTGTGATTTGCCTACTTGTTAAAATCTGTATGTAAAGTGTATTCATTAAAACACCACAAAATCAATAGTTGTGATACTTTCTAGGTAGTACATAAACATGCAGAATGGGGGAAAATTTGAATGGCCCTGTGCCCATTTTCCCAGCAAGTGAGTCCTTATTTGTGTCACCTCTCATATTCTAAACAGGTGTCCTTTTCATGGTCTGATTAGTGCCACCATTTTCACATTTTTGCTTTTCATTGACAACTCCACTATTTAAAATGACCCCCAAGCATAGTATTGAAATGCCTCTAGTGTTCCTAAGCGCAAGAAGGCTATCATATATGTGCCTCATGGAGAAAATTTGCTACAAATATTCATAGACCTCAGTAAAATGCAATGTTTATGATTATAATTATTAGATAAGCTTTGTTCAGGCATGAATTACAGCACTATTAGCACCAAATTTAATGTTAATGAATCAACTCTATTTTAAATAAGGTATCTTTAAACATAAACACACATAAAACAAGACTGCGTATTGATTGGTTGGTGAAATGCTACAACCAGACACTCTCAGGAACCTAACCTTATATTTCTCCTAAAAGCAGTGGATCAGTGTTTGCAGCTACTTTACGGAATGTAACTACTGCAGATAACAAGAATTGACTAAATTAAATTCCAGACGTAAGTAGAAATTTCAGGCTATTCCTCTTACCCATGTTAATTCTAGTTTAGAGACTTTTTGGTTAGGGTACATATTTTATTTTAAAATCTTTAAATTTAGAGGAGAGCTGAATTCATTTTGGTTCAGTGATTCACTTTGATGACTTACTATCTGCCAATAACTATGCTAGTTTGGAAATATACAAAAACAAACAAGTACGTATAAAATCTTCACGCCAGGGATTTTTCAGTTAGTGGAATATTCCATTTTAACCCAACTAGTCTGATACCAACTACAATTAAATTTTGACACTAATTGCCTGCAGTTAGCACAGACCTCACAGATTAGGGATAAAGTCCTCCATAAGAATGCCCAGGCTTCAGATGCCAGCTACAAGTTCTTGAGATACACAGGCTACCCATACTTGGATAACTAGCTACTAGTCACACATTAGTGCATTTTCACAGCCCCTCAGATTCAGTGGTTTGCTAAAATGACTAGAGTTTAGTAAAGTGTTATGATTATAGTTTTATTGTAAGATGGCACATAGGATGAGGTTTCAGAAGGAGCAGAGTTTTCGTGGTCTCCCCCTGTGAAGTCAGGGTATCTCACCCTCCAGGCACATCGCATGTTGACCCACCAGGAAGCTCAGGAGCTTAAGTGTCCAGAGATTTTGTGGCATTTCGTTACAGAGGTATGATTGGTTGTATAGGTATCATTGACCACATGATTGAACCTAATCTTTTGCTCTCCTTCACATGGTTGCTCACAGGGTTCTGGCAACCAGCCTCCAACCTGAAGATGTCTGCATACTTACTGTGAATCCCCTTGTTAGCATAACAAAGACATCCCCTATTACTCAGGGCATTCCCAGGTCTTGGAAGTTGTGTGCCAAGAACTGGAAACAGTGGCCAGATAAATTCTTTATTATAGCACAGGGAAACTGCCTTATAAGTAAAAGGTAAATGTGAAATTTGCCACACAGGGACGTAAGCTTTTACAAGCAGAGAGGAGAATATATGCCAAAACATCGAGTAATGAAACAGTTGTGAAAATGTTATTTAGTTTAAGCAAAGTGTCATGTTCAAAAGGGGAATTATTGAAGGTGAGTCCGGTGAAAGTAGACAGTAGTGCAGTTGTGAAATGCTGTGGAAACAGGAGGCCACAAACCATATATTCATTTGGGCCTTATGTATTTTAATTATAATGGAAACTTTCAAGCATATATAAAGAGTAGACAAAATAATATAGTGCATATATAATGAATATTGTGAGCTCCTATGCACTTATAATAATTAATAGCTGGTTGTTGATTTGAGTTTTTAAAAAATTACTTATTTTTAGAGAGAGGGGAAGGGAGGGAGAGAAGCATCAGTGTATGATTGCCTCTTTCAAGTCCCCCAATGGGGACCTGGCCTGCAATCCAGACATGTGCCCTGATTGGAAATCAAACCACCGACCCTTTGTCTCACAGGCTGGCACTCAGTCCACTGAGCCACACCAGCTAAAGCTGATTTGTCGCAACTGTATTCTCCTTCATCTTTCCTCCACCCTCCAACATATTGGTACCAAATATTATTTCATTCAGAGATATTTCAGTGTATATCTCTAAAATATATGAGCTTTTAAAAAATTACAATTATCCCATTATTACAGCTAAAACAATGTTAACATGAAATTTCCAGTCATTACTCATATGGTCAGTTCTCTAGTGTTTTTAAAAATAGCAAATCAGTTGCTAATATTTTTTAATTGGCATATTTCACTTTAAGAATCTAGATTTTTGTAATTAAAAAATTGTAAAGTCTAGCAATACTAACTATATGGTTCTCCTTTATGACAATAGAGCCTTGATCAAAGTCCTTGCCTAGCTTCCGTACTCACTGCTTTCTCTTGTGAGGAGTATTGGAAAGCATTTAAACAGGCATATATCTTAATCAGATTTGCGTTACGGAAAAATAACTAAAGGTGGGATCAGAATGTACTTAGGAGATGGTACAGAGGGAAGGCAAGGAGAACGTTTAGAGAGTTTTGCCATAGCGAGAGCTAGAAGGGGAGATAGGTTAGGTGAAGGTCTGAACTAAGGTTCTTGTAGGGGAGCTGGCAAGTTTAGAATTTTAAGAGTTAAAGAACAGGATTAATGATAACCTGTGGGAAGGGCACATTAAAGGTAAAACCTGAATCTCAGACTTAGGTGGCTGCCTGATAGATTTAGGTGAGATAGGAGATTGTGACTGAGCAAAGGGTGCTTGAGAGGGAATAAATGGTGTGTTTGGATGTTTTCACTGGGTGGTGGAGGTGAATATACCCAGTTGTGTTGAAGCCATAACTGAAGTGGGTGCATATAGGTAAGAGTAAAGGGGTTTTTAATCCACAATGATAGACTCTAATTTTTATACACTTAAAATTTGAGAATTCTCCTAACTAAATTAAAGGAAATAAAGTAAGGAAAGCAAAATGAAGGGTACTTGTATTTTGGGGGGTGTTGAAAGGACTTTTTTTTTAAGACATACCATTTATAGAAATGAAGGGATAGGTGAAGAATTTTGATGTGCAACTGTTGGCTTTCCTATTGTTTACTCCACTTTTAATAGTAAGCTTGTATCATCTTAATATATATTAATACATTGTTAGTTGGAAGAAATGTACCTACGAACAGCATTTCAGCGTCTGGCATCTATTTACTAAGTTCTTGGTGTTTGTTGGATTTGAATCTAAATAAATCCTTTTAAGGCTTATGCAGTAGTATCTGTTTCAGATTAGCATTTTCACCTGATTTTTCCCAGCAGTGTCTCCACAAATAGAAAACTCAATAAATAGTTGTAGAATAAATGAATAATTCTGATGATTTTGCTTTATTTAAAAGGATTTCTCTTTTCTTAGTTTAAGATGGTATCAACATCCCACAGAAGAAGAATTAAGAATTCTTGCAGGGAAGCAGCAAAAAGGGAAAAGCAAAAAAGATAGGTAAGTTATATTATTGACTTTGTAGTATTAAATATTTGACACAACTTATGTAAGTACAGTTTTATACTTTGGTTAAAGGAACATTTACCTGTGACACCATAAACACTTGATAAATTTGAGATCAAAACCCATGGTCTAAAATAATATTGAATCACCCTTTAGGAAAACCCCATGTGTAGTAATCTAATATATTAAGCACAAAAGTAATTATTTACTTAAGAATATTCAACCATAGTTGTCTTTGTGTTTCAATAATGAAAACAAAGAGCCATCATATTAAAATTCGGTGGCAGGGGTGGGGACGGGGGCAGGGGAGAGTTGATTAGGGGAGACTAAATAATCCATGTTTTTACCCTACAATTCATTTAAAGATACCAGTTGGCTTAGGTTCTTTCCCACATTTTGCTATGACTCATTATCGTAATATTGGGAAAATTCATCTGCCTTTAACCTCTGTCTTCTCACTTTTTAAGTAAAAGTGGTAGACAGTATAACTTCTTAGGTCCCTTTGAGCTGCTGAATATTATTTTGATGTTTAATTTTTATGAAGAAAACTGTTAAATGAACCTCGCCAAGTGGACCACAGCTGTCTCATTTGTGAAATGGAAGGACCAAACTAATTTTGAAAGATCCTTATAGCCTAACATTTTTATAACTATATTTAAGTTGAATTCTCAAGGAAAGTGCTTGTTAATTAGCCTTTCTGAATGGGCCTTAGTTTTAGATTCCTCAGTTAGGGGTGGGGAGGACTTCTGATCTCACTATCATTCTTTTTATCACTTATAATTACAAATAAATCTTGCAGCTCTTTGGAAGATTAAATATAAACGCTTCTTTTCTGAATTCCAATAGTTATCTTCTTTATAAAAATATCCCTGCTTAATATTATAATTCCCAGAGTACTTTTAAACAGTTTCACTTAATCTACACGTCTCTGAATATTGGCTATTATTTTAATTTATATTTTACTAATGAGGAAGTTGTTGATGTTAACATCAGTGATGTTAAATGAGTTGAGCAAGTTGACATAACTATTAAGAGTCAGGATTTTAATACAGGTTAGTTTTTAGTTTCTACATTTCTGTTTAGCTATTCTACCTCTGCCTAGTGACAGCTACCATGTTCAACATTTGTAAAATTTAGTTATGTAACATAGTATTGATTCTACAAACATTTAGTTCTTATTGTATGCTTTGTAGTCAATAATTTTGTTACTTTTACAGTGATTTTTACATGTTGAAAATGCTTTGTATTTATGAAAAGATTCTCTGACAGTTTTGTTCCTGGTAACAGTAATTATTTGATTTATTGACATGAATTAGTATTTTTTACTGAGGCTTTCCCAGTTTATATTTATTCAAGAATAAATGCAAAACTGTTTTTTGGTATTATAATTAATGTCATTGAAACTTAGTTCATTACTTTCCAAGTATGTCTTTAAAAGTTAGTAAATTTGGGAGTGACACACATGCATGCACTTAAAGAATTCTGTTTTCCTTCATTCATGCTTGCTTGTTTCTCCATTTCTCCTGCACATAAATCTTAATGTATTTCTTTAACTCTGACTTGTTTATAGCTGCACATTTGTTTATGTGTGCATGTGTGTGCATGTGTAATTTCAAAGAAAAGTGCATTTTTTTTTCATTTGCTTTTACTCTTATTCCTAAAGAAAGAGATGTTAGGCTCTCTTTAAATCTACAGAAGAGACAGTAGAAGAAATGAGTGAAATGCTAAGCTAGCAATTAAGATTTTATTCCTGTCACTAATGTACATAGATCTTTTCCTGGTAATCTGTATATTTTCATAATGATTTACATCCACATTTTGTAGTCCCCCCTTTAAAAACTACTTTTGAGTACTTTATCTTCTATTTGATGAAATCTTAGAAATTCTGCTCTTTTTTTCACTGTGAAATTTAAAAATCTCATTTGTAATTAGTTCGATACAAGCACCTGGATAACAGTGTAGATAACTTGTTTTTTGTGTCACCTGTCTCATTTTTATAGGAAATATAATGGTCACATTGAAAGTAAGCCACTAACCATTCCAAAGGACATTGATCTCCATCTAGAAACAAAGTCAGTTACAGAAGTGGATACTTTTGGTAAGGAACATCTTGGTAAAGTGTTCTATAAATCTCAGCTTTACATTATGGTAGTGAAAGTACTTTCATTTTATCTGTTGTGGCTAGACTTTCTGATTGTTTTTCTAATCATTAAGTTCATTATATAGAATGTGAAATCTTTGTCAGAGCTTTAAAGCTCAAAATTACTTCTTGAATTGCATTTCTCTTTCTACTCACATAACTTACAGTCAGCATTACTTTTTTTCATTTTTCAGTAGAGGCTAATTTACACAAGTTTGTTACACGGTTTCTGTTTAGACTGAGATCAGAATCAGTTTTCATTATTTTGAATTCTAGACTTTTTGCCATCTATCCCAGTCTGTTTCTTTTATAATGTGGCTTGCAGAAACGCACTTGAATATTTGTATTGAATTACCTATATTTACAATAATTTCAATTTATGTTTACATTTAGTAGAAAAAGTGGTTGTAGAATAATATACTGATTTATATAACAACTACAATGGTTTTAAATTTAAAATGAAATTATTTTAATCCTAGAAGAGAAAGGCATCTAATATATTTTTAAAACACTGGTTTTCAAACAGAATCACTTGAGTGGCTCTATAAAAATAAAGAATTCTCATACTTAACATTGGAGATTCAATAAATATTAAGTGGGTTCTAGGACTTTGTATTTTTTAAAATGTTGAAAGTGGTTCTGATTTTTTAGCAGGTTTGAGAACTAATGGTTTACATTATGTGAAGAGTTAAAATAAAGTGTTGTGTTTTTTAAAGATAATTTTGAATATACAAAGTTGGAGTTCCAGCCAAGATGGAGGCTTAGGTAGAAACCCTTTGCTTTCCCACCCAACCAAACGGAAGATAACAACCAATCTAAAAACAATAAACAACCAGAGGTGCCAGAAAATCAAACTGTATAGAACTCCAACAAACAAGGAATGAAAGAAACATTCACCAGACCAGTAGGAGAGATGGAGACAGGTAACCTGGTGGGTGGAAAGGACCCTGCAGCAAGATGGAGGACTGAGGGAGTAAGGCAGCAACCTGCCCAGTGAAGCAGGAATGGCTTAGAGGACCCGCAGTACCAGACAGTGCCAGGGAGGCAGGGCTGGCTGAACCGGAAAACTAAGTGGGAGAAACTCCCAGTCTTACACAACAGAGTACATTGGAAAGTGGGGCTAGAGTGAAGAAGTGAACCATATTGTTCCCTCTCTGACCCCTCCCCCAGAGACAGTGCCACAATGCTGCAAAGAGGGGTTTCCCCACCCAAGTGAATACCTAAGGCCCCACCCCCCTACAACATAACAAGTGCACTGAGACAAAGAAATATGGCCCGAATGAAACAACAGACCAAAACTCCAGAAAAAGAGGTTTACTATGAGGAGATAGCCAACCTATCTGATGCAGAGTTTAAAACACTGGTAATCAAGATACTCCTGGAACTGATTAAGCTCGGTCACAAAATGTACGAACAAATGAAGGTTACCCAAAGTGAAATAAAGCAAAATATACAGGGAACCAACAGTGAAGGGAAGGAAACTGGGACTCAAATCAACAATCTGGAATAAAAGGAAGAAATATCCAACCAGAACAGAATAAAGAAGCAAGAATTCAAAAAAATGAAGAGAGGCTTAGGAACCTTTGGGACAACCTGAAACATTCCTATATCCAAATTATAGGGGTGCCAGAAGGAGAAGAGGAAGACCAAGAAACTGAAAACTTATTTGAACAAATAATGAAGGACGACTTTTCCAATCTGGCAAAGGAAGTAGGGAAGTCCAGGAATCCCAGAGAGTCCCAAAGAAGTTCGACCAAAAGAGGAACACACCAAGGCACATCATCATTAAGTTACCCAAGATTAAATATAAAGAGAGAATCCTAAAAGAAGTAAGAGAAAAGGAGACAGTTACCTACAAGGGAGTTCCCATTAGACTATCAGCTGATTTCTCAAAAGAAATCTTACAGGCAAGAACAGGTTGGAAAGAAAATTTGAAGTCGTGAAAGGCAAGGACCTACATCCAAGCTTACTCTATCCAGCAAAGCTATCATTCAGAATAAAAGGGCAGATAAAGTGCTTCCCAGATAAAGTCAAGTTTAAGGAGTTCATCATCACCAAGCCCTTATTATATGAAATGTTAAAGGGACTTATCTAAGAAATAGAAGATAAAAAACTATGAACAGTAAAATGACAACAAACTCACAATTAGCAACAACTGAACCTAAAAAGAAAAAGAACAACTAAGCAAACAGCAAGAATGGGAACAGAATCAGATAAATGGACATCACATGGAGGGTTTTCAGTGGGGAGGAAGAGGGGAAGATACAGGGAATAACAAGCATAATTGGTAGGCATAAAATAGTCAGGGAGAGGTTAAGAAGGGTATAGGAAACAGAAATCAAAGAACTTACATGTACAGCCCATGGACGTGAACTAAGTGTGGAGGGGGGGAGTTGGAGGGTACAGGGCACAGGGGGATAAAAGGGGAACAATTGGGAAAGCTGTAATAGCATAATCAATAAAGTATACTTAAAAGATTTTGGTAGTGTTGTATAAAACATCATTATGTAATTTGGCCCTTCTTATGTTAAATCATACCACACCAGAAAAACCTTCAGATTCATTTAGCATCTATATAATATAAAATTATTTTGTGATTCAGTAATTTTATTTTCTGATTCAGTGGCTTCAATATATTTGAAAGTTGATTCTACATCTGCAAAGATATTATGTTTATATGGGGAAAAGGTGTCCTAGAACCCAGAAATGTCATTGAGAAACAGTTTAAGTCAGTTGTCTGTTATCATTAAGACTGGTTATGTCATCCTTTTTTTTTTCTTTTAAACTAGTTTTGATGCAAAATTTAAAATATTTAAAAGCACTTTGACTTATTGTACTCACATTTGTTTCAGTATCCTATATGTTTGCTTACTTACATGAAATGTTCACAGACATGTATAAATATAAGAATATATATATATCCCCTGATTTCTAAGTACAGATTTTTGTCACTTTAATAACTAATGTTTGTTGAATAATTATCAGCTAATTTGCTTTAATAATAGCTTAAAATTCCATATTAGCTATTGTTGTAAGAGCTTTACTTATATTAACTCATCCTCACAATTCTATGAGGTATATAAGTATTATCAACCTTTAAAGAAATGCAACTCATTAGATAGAGGTTAAATAACTTGGCCAGGATTACACACCAAACATGGTAGAGATAGTGAGAACTAGGCTATTAATGAACTTAAAAAATGAAGTAGGGTAACATAGCTTCAGAATACAACTTAATCAGTGTTTTGCTTCACTTGTAAAATTTTGAGAGCTAACTACAAATTATACTCGTTTAGTAATTGGCCACAAAATATCAAAAGCATTTCAGTTCTTCAGAATAATGGGAAGATGTTTTGTTTATATTTATATTAATTATTATTTATGAATGTGTGTTTAAGTAAAAATAGAGAATTTCTGCCTGAATTTTAGGTACTCTCAGTTGCTTAAAGGAAATTACTAGGCTTGATATGCTCTTAAGTTTTTTTCAATCCTATGAAAAGGGTATGTGTATAATTATATTATTGAATACAAAAAGAATAATATAATTCTTGGATTAAATATATAGCAAAGGATTTGTGTAATTTGTACTTTTGCTGAAGATATATATTATTGATATCTGAATAACTATCTTAAGAGTATATCTCAATTTATATTAACTATTTATTATAGGTTCCTCTTAAAGAACATGAGAACATTTGAATGTCGCTTGGCAGTTTGCTCTTAAATTCCCCGGGGCTAATCTGTGTGACTAAGAGCAGGCATGGAGAATTGGAACACCTACTTCAATTGTTATTAGTAAAATTGAAAACCTTTAGATACACAGACACCTATCTATTGTTTCATCCATTTCCCTGTCCTCCTTCCAGAAAGTTATTCAAAAGGCTTAACTGGGTGATTTTAGAGGGGGACAGAGGGCAGGAATCCTGCAACCACTTTAGGGAAAATTTTTCATACTGATGGTTCAGAAGCTGAACATCTCTCTCTCTCTTTCTCTCTCTCTCTCACACACACACACCCTAAAGCAATTAAAATAAGTTGAAGCAAATAAAAAAATGTACTCAGTCATAAAAAAATTTGTAATTTTTGCTGTTCACATCATAGAGATGATGTAAGTTCAGTTAGTTTGTTTTGATATTTTAAGTAAGTCTTACTTTGAGTGGTATTTTAAAAATACTTTTTAGTGTGATTTTAGTATAGCATCAAGTATTACATTTTACAACTAAAATTTTTTCCAAAGCAATGTAGATTGTTTTATCATGTGCCAGTGAGAACATACAAATTAATGTTTATGATGTGATTTATTTCCACATTTTTAGGAAGCTTTCTAGAAATGATGTTGATATTTTGAACTGCACTCTGGCAGAAGTAAACCAGAATATCTGAAATGGAAAGAGAGATGGAACCATATTTAGTTTCAGAGAAGGCTAATTTAATGTGAACCCTTACGAATGAAATAGTTTGTTGAAAGAATATGCGTTTTTTGGGAAGTAGACAGGTATTTCATCAGCTTTTCTTACAGGAGCAGATCATTTATTAAAGAATAGGTTTATTTAATTTGTTATTTTAATCTGCAGTAACTCAAAATTACTAACCTTCCATTAGAGCAGTTAACAACTGTACAAAGTTTAGCCTTCTTCACAGAAATGACTATAAGTAAAGCTGGTTGTATTCTCCATGAGGGTGTATTCTACAGCAGCAATTTTCAACTAGAGTGCCACAAGAATTTTTAAAGCATGCAGTATCTGACTACTTAGTCAGGGGCACTGACCTCTTTCGTTTCCCTTCGATTGTCAAATTTTAAAAAATGACAACACCTATACAACAGTAGCCATCCAGTGTGGGTGAATCAAAATCATCCTTGTTTTGTTTTGTTTTGTTAAATGGGCAAAAGATATATTATTTGGTGTGCCACCGAATTTTACTAATTAGTTTAAGTAAAATGAGATTAAAAAAATTGAAACTCACTGTTCTAAAGTATAGCTCAGATTCTTTAAAAAAAAAACCTTGATATATAATTTCTGTAAAAAATAGCTAATCCGCTAAGAAAATACCAGCTCAAGCCCTGGCTGGCATAGCTCAGTGGATTGAGCGCGGCCTGCGAACCAAAGTGTCGCAGGTTCGATTCCCAGTTAGGGCACATGCCTGGGTTGCAGGCTATAACCCCCAGCAACCGCACATTAATGTTTCTCTCTCTCTCTCTATCTCCCTCCCTTCCCACTCTAAAAATAAATAAATAAAATCTTTAAAAAAAAAAGAAAAAGAAAATACCAGCTCATTTTGCAATCATGTATTTTAACAACAATTTAATTATTGGTGATCATTTTGAGGTTATTTTAATTACTTAATTTATGTAATATTAGAATTTAGTTTTAAGTGCCAACATTCTTGATTTGTTTTTGGCATTTTTAGATTCTTGTATTTGTAATCCTTGCATTGCAAGTCACCAAATAGGATAATGTCTAGCATGTTTATAGTTAATTATAGATAAGTGTTCTAGGCTGTTCATGAAAGTTTAAGTAAACTTTGTTTTTAACCTTTATTTTTCAGCATTGCATTACTTTCCAGAATACCAGTGGCTGGTGGATTTCACAGTGGCTGCTACAGTTGTGTATCTAGTCACTGAAGTCTACTACAGTTTTATGAAGCCCACACAGGAAATGAATATCAGCTTAGTCTGGTGCCTGCTTGTTTTGTCTTTTGCAATGTATCCTTCAAAACATTATTAATGTTAATTTATGAATTTGTTTTTCATTTCACAGATACCACCATTAAACCTCATTTCTGATTTGAAAAATATTTTAAATCATTAGAGAATTTTTCTTAGTTGAAATCCACTTGATTTAATTGAAAAAATTTCAAAGTAGAGATAGTTTAAAAACTGAAATGCAAGGAAAGAAGCCAGCTGCCTGCCTTTCCTTTCCTGAGTCTCATGTTGTGCCACTTCTACCTTATTAGAATTTCTTCTATGTGTTTAAATGTTATGTGATAATGGTATTTAATTTTAGATATTATTGCTCCTTCTCTTTTCTTTTTCTATTTCAAGACAGTAAAGAGACTTTTTAAAATTAAATCAGTCATTGGTTTTAGTTACATCTATGAAAATATTTATAGCTAAGCACTGTAGTGTGTTATTTCCGTCCTCAGTTTTTTATTCTCATTCTTAGATTTCTATGCCTCAGTAGTTCATATACAATGTTTCTGTTTTGTTTCCCCATGGAAATACCTCCTAGAGAGGATATTCTGACACATATAACCCTCAGTTCTCTAAACTTCCTACATATGTTAATCCTGGGATTTTCTTCACTGTCTTCCTAAGAATTCCTTGTGCCTTTTTTTGGATCACATCATCTTGTCTTGGTCTACTCCCCTTTTAGCAGAGTGTATTCTTCTATAGTGTCCTTAGAAAGGGGGGCACTTTTAAAAAACATTTTACACACCTGAAATTACCTTATTTCCTGCCCACCTCCCCGCCCCATAGTCAGTTGATAGTTTGGCTCAGCATGATTTCAAAGAAATAGTTTTTCCTCAGAGTATTGAAGATGATAGATTGGATGCTGTCTTGCAATTGTCATATGCTGCCGTCACTCTCATACCCTCTAGAAGCTTTTTCTTTTTATCCTGTTGGTGCTCTGAAGTTTCGTCATTAATTGTGCTCAGTTTTAGGTTTAGTGTTTAAATATGGAAACTCATTTTCTTTTCTCCCGGGCAATAACTTTAGTTTCTTTTTTATTATTTTTATTAAAATTAAACATTCTCTCCTGTATTTCCACCTCTCTAGAGGCAGCTTCTCCCCTTTCTTTTTGATGTTCACATCTGTATTTCCATATGTATGCAAAACCACTGCTTGATTTCAGTTTTAGGCTTTAACTATTGTTATTTCTTCTGGAAATGAGAACATTGCACATGCCCCTGGGTTGTCACTTACCATTGATTATTTCTTATTCATCTCTTCTTCCAAGTACAGTAATGTCATTTATAAGAATATTTAGTGTTTATGTTATGATCTTACAGACTCTATTCACAGATAAATACTTGTCTTAATTTTTCATTTGCATTGTTATTGCATTTGTACATACCATTAGTTCAGCCTCAAACTCTTCTGGGTGTATAAATTGCTCAATATGTTCAAAAGCATCTGAGAGATTTTTCTCAGAGATTTTCTCAACCTTCCCCAGTCCTTTAGTTGAGTTTTTGACTTCTGCTAATTTTTAATTTTTAAGAGCTCTTATTTCTGTCTTTTCTCCTCTTACCTTTATGGAATCCTACTTGTTTTATGATTACCTTGTTTTGCGTATATTTGAGATACTGGTAAATTTTGTAAAGGTTTTCTTTATGCCATGTATCTTTTTCCTCTATGTTGTTTGGTTTGGTTGCTGTCTCTCATGTTAAAGACTTCTCTTAGAGAGATCTAGTGTTATTTGCCTGTTCATATGTAAGTGTGAGGCACTGAAAGACTGGAAGCTCAGAGCACGTGACGGGGCAAGTTTTTGAATCATCTGGATAGGCCAGAGATGCTCCTTTTCACTCCCTCCAAAGCATGAATCCTTTCATGCAGGGAAAGTTTTAGGTGGTTACTTTAAAAAATTTTTAGTAGTGCTTTTTTCTTAATACCACTACTGACACACATACTCACACTTTCACCCCAATCTGACCAGTTTTTATTCATTTTGGAATTCTTCAATAAAATCAGATTGCACTTGGCTTTCTGATTAAGCTTCCTCATTCTGTTTAGTCAGTTACCACTTATTTACCTGCTTTCTAGCCTCCACAATTTTATTGCTCTTTTTCTTTCATTCACTGTATTTATTTACTTTGAATCATTCTTTTACAGTCGTTTTGGTGTGGATTGGGGAGAGAACCAAAGTAAGCATATGTGCTCAATCTGCTATTTTTATCCATAGGTTTGTATTGTCTCTTTGGTAAGGTTCTGTTGTCTCTCTTTTTCAGAAACTCGTGTTAGTGAGATGTTTGATTTCTTTGAATGAGTTTTTAAATTTTTTATCTCCCCTTTCCCATTTATTTTATCTATATTGTTTTTTCTCTTAATTTTCTCTTTTAACCCCCTTCTGTTGCAGTTTTTGTATCAACTGCTGTTTTTTAATTTTTAAACTTTTTATCTGAATATTCCATTTTTATAGTATTTATGTGCCATGGATGTATACACTTTTTATTTCTAAGGATATTAGTATCTTTTACGTTTTAATTTAAACCTTGCATTGTTTATTCTGAATCCCCCTTCCCCCATTTTTGTTTTAATCACAGTCATGTTAAAGATTGTACTCAAGTTTCTCATGATTTTTAAGTATCTGTTTATGTTCAAGAATGTGGTATGAAAAAATTGGAAGTTTTGTGCAAGTGACTGGAGCTTATTGATTAGCAGGTCTTTTACTGGGTGATGAGTATAGATAGACTTGGCAGCATTCTTGGAGGAACCTCTAAATGTCATTTTCTGCAGGTTGTTGAACCTATCATCTTCTCCACAGAAAAATTGTTTATTTTCTCATCAGTGGGGTATGAGCCTGACAGCCAGTGTTGTAGGAGTTGATTGGGGAAGAAGAGACTCAGCATTCAGCGTGCACATAGTAATTTAAATGTGAGTTAGTTCGTGTACCGATAATCCTGTCCCTCTGCCCTCTTGTTTTCAGCTCTTCATTTTCACCCTGAGTTTTATCTAGTACTGCCAAGCTCAGTCTTCTCTGGTGTAACATTAATTCTGCTGGTTTCTGCCAGAGTTGGAGAAGGACCATCTCCTAAACTATATGATGAGGCAAAACAGAAGATCTGGGAAGTCTGATTACTACTCATATAGATATTCAGCCAGTCATTCTGTTTTCATCTATTCTGCAACCCTGCCTTCAGAGGTACCCACTGTCTCCAATTCCTGACTTCCAGGGTATGTTATGAATGAATTGTGTTTCTGCTAGGTTCCTCCTGTTGTAGACCCCGCATCGCAAAGAAAGCTGAAACCTCAATCAGTTACGGCTTGTCCATCTATCTAGTGTCATCCAAATTTTGTTGAAATACCTTTTCTACTATTACTTCTTTTTCTATTCTTTGTTTTTGGGGATTTTTACTTCCCTTTCTTTGTGGTTTATTTAGTCAAATGTGATGAGGAAGCAGTGTAAATGCACATCTTACATCTTTTATATTCAACCAGAGACTGCTAAACCAGCTTTAAAGCTATAAGAGGATTTTATTTAAATTATGTGATATGATTTGACATTCAACACAACTGTGCTATTTCTCTATTGACTCTTTTGGATTGATTTAGGTATAATTTAGACCAGAAGAGCCGGAGCAAAGCCTTAAGAGTCAACATCTTTTATAGAGTATATATTGTACTGGGTAGACATACTGATCATGTGTGCCAGTAGAGAAACATCCATTGTTGTACTGATTTCAAGAGCAAGTTAAATTCAAGCATTTAAAATATTACTATTTAACTCTGTAGTATTAAATATGTGAAAATACCATTTAATCAGAATAAAAGACCCATCTCTAGATATCAAGTCATGTGAACCACACTACAAATATTTTAACTTCATAATTAGTATTGTGTCATATTAATTTTTTATACTTTGACTTCTTATGTTCTGAAATATTGTTTATTATGGCTTATTCCTATCTTTGCTTCATTTCTTCATGGTTTATAGAAATATTAAAATACTATATGATATTTATATAGAAATGCATATTCTTGATATTCATTTTTATATAACATACCTTAAATAATTAACCTACTTACCAGAGAAATTAGAAAAATGTACTTAATTGCTACTCCAATCATTGTGTGAATAAATTTCATCTTTCATTTTACTGAGTAATGCCTGGTAACATGAGAGCAAAGGCCCCGCACAATCTTCAGCACTAAACTGGCTCTGCTTAGTTACTTAAGTAGTGTACTTGTGAAAGGCACCAAACAGCATCCCTGCAAGAATCTAGTAGCTGTCAGTCTATCCCATGGAAGACAGAAAGGGCTGAAGGGCTTTAGAATCCAAGCTATTTTCTGCCAACTTTGACCCTCTAACAAACGGGCTTGTGTAGAAGAAAAGTAGAATTGTGTCTATGCTTGGGTACGTGATTTTTCTTTGAGGTTGTACCATGTGAGAAAATGACCTACTTCAATCAACAGCATGCAGGAAAGTAGTAAATGCTAGATACCCAGATTAATTCCAAGGAACCATCTGTTTATAGCCTACCTTTTATCTTATTATAACATATCCGGTATACCTACGAACAGTCAGACTACAACTGACCTCTGTCTGGCTTCTCTTTACTATCTTATTCTATGTGCCTACTTACTAGTCCAACACATGTCTCCATTGATTATGTAGGACAATAACTCCACTTAATTGCAGAGTCACACAGACATCAAATAAGAATATGAAAAATTCTTGAGAATCAGAAGTTCTCTGCAGTTGTTACTGTTGAAATGTCCTTTGTTACAGTGGTCCCCAAATTAGACACATATAATTTGGTCCACTTAAAAGTGAGGAAGAAAATGTTTTTTTCCCATGGTTATCCTCCCATTAATTTTATTTGACATACTTATTTGAGACAACAATTACAATTTCTATAGAATCTTGAAAGTTCTAAAATCATGAGAATGACTTTTTAAAAATGTGTAGCACTTAAATCTTGAATCCTGGAACATAAAACAGCACCTCTTGTCATCAGCCCTGTTTTTTGCCTCAACTGAGTTAT